CAGGGGGGGGGGGGGGGGGGGGGGGGGGGGGGGAAATGTCGCCTAGCTGGTGAAAGTTAAGGAATTTATTTCAGGGTTGGTCTAAGTTAACTTTTTTCGAGCAGCTTTCTGTAGTTTCCGCTGATTTTTGGAACAGTAAACCCTACCAAAATACCAATACAAATACCAATGCCAATTATTCTGGCCAGAACGATAGAAAGCACTTAAATAATACTTAATATGCTTGGTTATGGTACCACAGCTGCCAAGCTGGAAATTCATAGCTGAACTCTTGGTTTCGAAGAATTTAAAATTTATCGCTTGAATTTTTTCATCCACCCATCCATCTGACGGGCGATACCAATCTTTCCACACGTCCAAATATGGTGCGGGAAGAAAGAGGTATTGTAATATAATTATGAGAAAATAGAGTCCTCCAAGAATGTAAGCAAAAAAAAGGGCTTTCGACGTTTTCCTCATTCCTCTCCAACACTCATCTTCCTCGGCCTTTCCATCTTATCATGAGCTTGAAAGAGCCGCAGAAGACACCCCCCCCCCGAAAATAGTTCCTGGCTACGTCCCTGATTCCCCCTGGAATCTCCCTGAATCTCTTATCGAGGGTAGTCATAGAATGCTTAACTATACTTATCAGCTGGACGCTATCAGCGAGGAGAGGACATGCGATTAATTCTTAGTTATTCCATAAGTGAATGCCTAGAAGTTCATAGAACCCAACGGCAGCCCCATGCATCCGACCGAGAAGGGATGAGGGTTGAATTGGAGCAAAGTCCTGGAATTTATTGCCCCAGCCTCATCCGTCAAGCTCACTGCCCTCCTCCGTCAGGAGGTATGAGAGAATTTTGATCGAGGATGGACAGTGATGTCTGGTGCGCAGGGTTGCCAAAAGGAGCTCCCTCAGTTCTTTCCATTTCGACCCCGTTTTGTGGCACAACAGCGTTTCCGGGTTGAGTTTTTCCCCCAGTTTACTTGTGCTCCATGCTTCTTTATGGGCTCCACCGTCGAGCTGTGAAGTAACAGTTCCCTCGGATAAGATGTTGCTAAATGGGCCTCTTTCATCGGCATACACCTAAACAACGAATGACGATTGCAATTACTATGTGAATTACAAAGCAATTACTCTTTCTCCAACACGGTCAACAGCACCAGAGAAGGGGAGAAGAGGATAAAAGTCAATCTGGAAAAATTGTCTGAAAGCCGCTACTTACTCTGCGTCTCCCGGATGTGACGCGTGAGATACAGTAATGCATGCAGGAGTCGGAAATTTCTCATGTTTGCACGTTGTGCGTTCGTACCTGCGTCTCCATCGGTGCTGATAGAACGACAGGGCGTCTAGTCTCGTGATCAATTTGATGCAACGGACACACTTCCTCTCCCAGGATTTCTTCTCCCTCGTTTGCTTGCGTGCGGGCGTTCCGATTTAAACTGATCCCAATTCCGCACGCGAGCCTTACGTCCAGTGGAAACTCTTAGATGAAAGTAAAGTGGACATGCGTGTGCACGCGCTTCTAACCATCTACCCAACCATCCACGCAAATCTACGCGAGACACGCCAAAGGTGAAACGCCCATTAGCCACGCACGTGGACGCGTTCAGGCTCGCGTGAGTTTCCTTACGCAAACGAGCATACATGCAAACGCATGCATTCACGCGTGTGAACCGAAGTGCGAAACCAACAGCACTGAAATATGCATCAGCAAATGGCAACCCTGTCTCTTCAGTCTAGAGTCCTATGCGGTCCGATTTTTTTCGTACCCGACAAATCGCCCCGATTTGAGTCCCGACCTGCACCCGATCCGAAACCAGATTGCCAACCGAACTTCACGGGCCGATCCAACCCGAAAAACACTTTTCGAATTGACTTCATAACGGCATGATGAACATGGAGATCCTGTGCCCTCTCGATCTATGGACTATTTCATACTCGAAGTCCTCGATGTTTCAGATTGTCATGGAGAAATGGAAGATTGACTCCAGCCTCTGGCATTAAATCATTCTCTTTCTTTCAGATGAAATGCGTAGATGCCTCAGGCGGTCCATGATCCCTCCTTTAAGCCATGGAAAGAAAAATTGGGCCCGACCTGAGGAGGGAGCTGAGGAACCTAAACGAACCTAAACGGCCCTAAACAGCCCGTTATTGCCCCTCCGAAAGAATAGTGAAATGATAATGTATTTTTAAACATTCTTATTTGCATAAGTGGTGAAAAAGGACCCGAAAAGCCAGTTTTTTTCCGAAGTCGGTCAATAAGAGGCGGGAATCCCGCTTTAGCTTACGTTAATTGGGACGGCAAAGGAAAAAATCCGTCCGTCATCGTTACACTGACTGGAAACTGCCTCCATGGGATGAAATTTTTGCTGCCAAAATGACCGTGCATGGTCCTGGGCTTTCCTCTCGACTGGCTGAATTTGCAATCGGAGTCAGAAAAGGCGCAGAGCGACCCCATGCAAGACGAAGACGCCGTGGCTCGAATGGCGATCTGCAGCTGCATGTGAGAGGGCGACTGCCCCGGGGAAATAAAAATAAGGACGCCATAGTCGCAGGACTGAGGGAAGAAGCGGACGCGTTTGCACATTCGTGGCATATTTTGTGAATCAGTGCAGCTTCTCTTCGACTGTCGGGATCGTATCCGAGTGGGAGTCCACATGGTCATGGAAACGGTTGGTCCAAACGTCCGGCTTTCCATCATAGGCATATCCCATCCTATCCTAGCCCGGTTCAACCAAACTTGACCTAATTTAGGCCTGAGTTTGTTACCCCCACTTTCGCTGAGTTGTATTCGATTTACTTCAAAAGAATTTGATCGCCGACGCGGCCGAGTCGATTCTCGTCCTTCAATGAGGTCAGCCACTGCGACGGAGCGAAAGGCGGTGACGCCGAAGCGGAAGCACTCTCGGAATTCCATTTGTCTAACCGCAAGAATGTTTAGTAGGCAGACATTTAGGACTAGTGGATGCAGCTCTGAACTTTACTGTTAAGGTGATTTCAAATGTTACCTGAGAAACGTGACTGGCTAATGAAAAGTTTTAAGCCTTATGGTGGAATTTCTCTACAGTGAAAAAGATAATTCAAAATTTGTATGCCCTAAGATAAACATGGTCCATTCCTTCTTTGCACAGCTACTACTGGCAGATTGAAAGCTGCCATTATTTTTCTGAAGTTTGCATCAGAATCCATCTGATTCATGTTAGAGTTCAATGGAAAAATCCCCATAAAGACTATAGATGTGACATAGAGAAGCTTATGCTGTTTGAAAATCATGTTCCCTTGGAAATAGACAAACTTTTTCCTTGTCCACTAACCCTCTATATATCAGGGTTTTCTTGTAACATTTCTTATGATGGCTGAAGTTGCCATTTCATTTCATGGAGACCCAAATACTGACTGACACCACTGAAAGACAAGAGTATGTTTGATTATTGATGCCAGCAGAGGTTCAGTTTGGGAGGGGGAGGACAGCAGCCACAACCTGCTGCTCCAGTTCCCAATGCAGTTGGGTCAAACGTGAACATGGCTCAACAGCAACAGCAGTCGGTCGACCGAGAGAAAATCTTCCAGTGGATCTTGGAACTCTCAAGTCCAGACACAAGGGAAAATGCTCTACTTGAGCTCAGGTATGCACAAGTTCATGCTTTGTGTTCTAGGCCTAGAGCCCCAAATACTTGTCTGGGAAGTATGATATCCTATAGGGATTTTAAATCCAGAAGTAACAGTCTTTGGCAGTATTTGTGGTGCACATTAGTGTGTCACTTACATGCCTTAGTCTGGTGTGAAGAACTTTTGTTTGCCATTGGAGACCAAATTAAATTTAAATGGAAAGGAGCCAAATGCAGGATGAATACAGTTTTGGAAGATCTAGGCCTGTAATACTTAGTCTTAGAGGTCTAAAACATTTATCCTCTATAAGTTACTCCTGACTCATCCTGAAATGTTTGTGTAATTTACAGCAAGAAAAGGGAAGCAGTTCCAGACTTGGCACCCATGCTGTGGCATTCATTTGGAACCATTGCAGCTTTACTCCAAGAAATCATTAATATATATCCATACATCAATCCAGCAAATCTGACAGCTCAGCAATCAAATCGTGTCTGCAATGCACTTGCTCTGCTCCAGTGTGTGGCATCTCATCGGGAAACCCGTTCCGTGTTCCTTCAGGCTCAAATCCCCCTTTACCTCTATCCGTTCTTGCAAACGGTCTGCAAGAATCGCCCCTTTGAGTATTTACGCCTCACAAGTCTTGGTGTGATTGGGGCATTGGTCAAGGTGGGTTTCCTTGTTTGTCCATTTCAGGATTGAAAGACACATTCATATGCCTAAAAGATCATTCTGAAATTTCCCACAGACGGATGAGCAAGAGGTGATTACCTTCCTGCTGACGACAGAAATCATTCCTCTTTGCCTGCGAATCATGGAGAATGGGTCAGAACTATCAAAAACGGTAGCCACATTCATTCTTCAGAAGATCCTGATGGATGAGACAGGGCTGTCGTATATCTGCCAGACGTATGAGCGTTTCTCCCATGTTGCTGTGATTCTGGTGAGTGTGCCTATTGCTTGAGTATCTTGGTGCTTGGGGTTAGAGTGATATGAGATTGTGTATCATCTCACAGGGCCGGATGGTGCTTTCTTTGGCGAAGGAGCAGTCAGCCCGCCTGTTGAAGCATGTTATTCGTTGCTACCTGCGCTTGTGTGATAATGGACGGTCAGTCCCCATGCTCTCTTTTTTGCTTTCTTTATTAATGTTTCATTAAATTTGTCAAACTGATGTTTTGCTAGTGTAGATGCAGGAACAAAAGAGTGCAGTGAAATTGCTTAGGCAAAGCAGGGGCATCCATGTTGCATTTTTTGGCAGCATTTGGATGAAAACGAATTCAAGACTTGTGCATAGACTGGGTCTTGGCTTAATTTTTGCTGATATGTCATTAATTTGAAAATGTAAGTCTGAGTGTCAAAACAAGAGCTTAGCATTTAATTTTTCTCAGACAAGGTAGGCATAAGGATGGCAGTTTTGAGATGGTGTTGGCACCATCTCAAAATCTGCACCATCTAAGTTGTATGTAAATTCTGAACCAACTGCTATTGCACCTATAGTGTGACAGTTGGAATACACAATCATAATGAGCTCCTCCCATTCAATCAACAGATGCATCAATGTGTCATGGATTTGAGGACATTTATTAAAGGATGGACCATGAGCATAGGGCAAGGTGCACTTGTAGAGCAAAAACGATCCAGTGCTCTTCCCAGCTCCAGTGAATGATGAAATCATCACGTGATTTCAGGGGTTACCCTAGGATTCTCACCCTGGCCTCCTGCTTGGTTATGTTAAGTCAGCAAATACACATGGATTGCTGGACGTTTACTTTTGGGGAACCCTTCAACATTCTCTTGTGCTTCATTTGGAAAGTAACCCCCTTAATTATCAGGAGAGCCTTCCAAATCAGACTTGAGGGTCCCGGGGACCCCTACGGCAAGAAACCTAGTGCAACCCCTGGATTTTTTATTTTCCTTAACTCAACCTATTTTATTTTGGAAACACATTATCCAAAATATAATTTTATTTAAAATCAATTGAAAATTAGAAAAACCTTATAGACCTGGAATGTACTGTGTGGTTCTCCTTCATTCCCCCATCTTCATATCCCACATTTTTGTATTCACCTTCCAATGTACATTTGAATTTCAATATATTAGTCACTAATATTTGGTTTCCATTTCTTCTGTATTTAGACAATAATGGAGGATCTTCAGCTCTTCTTCATTTGTGCATGAATTGCATTCTCGTGCCATCTTCATTCTTTCATTCTCTTCTTGCAGAGCCCGGGAAGCTCTCCGTCAGTGTCTCCCAGATGAGCTGAAGGACAATACTTTTGCTACTTGTCTACGAGATGATCGGAACACAAAACACTGGCTGCAACAGCTGCTAAAGAATCTGGAACCTCCTGCTGGGAATAGCAGTAGCTCAGCCATCACTCCCCTTGCCCCCCAGTGACCTTCCTCTTTCTTCCTCAACTCCCATCCTCGTGTTGAGTCTGTGATGCCAAGTTGACAACATTTGCCCTGGAACATCCCATCTTCTTGCTGTAGTTTTTTCTTGTTCGTGCAACCTTTTGCGATTTCATTTTTTCCTGTGTTATGACAAATCTCGGCTGGCTGGGACATCTACGTTTTGGAATTAATATTCATGACGATGTCTGAGCATACTGTGCAACTGCGCGACATTTGACTTGATAGAAGTGGAAATCTCATCCGTGATTTGGGAATAAAAGACCTTCATCTGAATATTGCATTGTTCTGGTGGTTTGTCACACTGGCCACTTGATGCATTGGATGGAATTGCAACCAAAGTCATTGGCCAAGATGAGTAGCTAGTAAACATAGACCCTGGTCAACCTAATTCACTTGTGATTCATCATTGTTTTGCTGGTGCAGGCAGCTCTCAATCTAAAAATCACCACTCTTGGTGATAACTGAATTTCAGTTGGCAATCACAAGGAATTAGAGCAGAATTAGAGATTCAAACTGATACTAGCACATGTAACTCCCAGATGATCCCAATTCATATGCTACCTCTAATTTGCATTCGCTCATTATGATGGTATTTTTTTCAAGGAACTGATAATGGAAAAAACCATGGACTTCATATGCCCTATAAAAGTTACTAGCACTTACAGGTCCTCTGTTGTGTCTTTTTTCAGAGCTGAGCAAAAGTACTTTTTGTAATGAGTTTTGAAAGACACCACTCAGCCTCAAGAAATCAACTGAATGCAAAGATACAGATATTGTCAATTGAGTCAATGAGACCCAAGAAATAGACATCAAATTCACTTGACTGAGGCAGAGGCCTCAGTCAAGTGAAGTAAGAGTCCTCAGCCATGGCAAATGGGCAACTATACTCATCGCCAAAAAAAAAGTCACACCAAGAAGGAGTTTGAGCTATCATGATGAAATTTAGTAGTCATACTTGTATTAGTGCATTATGAAATTGATGCTAGTTTCAAGGTCGTGGGTTTAAAATTCGCAGAGAAAACTTGCTAAACATCCCAATTTAAATGTGGTTGCTTGTACTTATCAATGTGTACTTATCGCCCACAAAGAACACCTACAAGGAGTTTAGTAATGAAATGCGAAACAGGAACTTCTACTGATGTTTAGTACAATGAAGCAAAGTTTAAAGGTCATAGGATGAAACGATGCAGGGAAAACTAGCCGAGCTAGCCGAACACCACGAAGGGATGGGGAAAAGGGCGACTAAACTGATCTGGCCAGTTTCCTTCCCTGCATCCCTCCATTCACTCTGCTTTGCTTCATTTGTTTACTTTTGGTCTTTAAACCCATACCAGGACGACCTCCACAGAGGCAGTCTCGTCAACTTCACCAGTTCTATTGAGGTCAGATAGTAGGCATGATGGAGGTAGGCCATAGCATGCATCAGGTTGTGCATTGGCTAAGTGTAAGTATGACTACCATGAGGTGTTGGTGGACTCGGTATCAGAATGGGGCAAACCATGAACAGCAACGAGGATCAGGCCACCCTCGCATCCCAATGCCCAGGGATGACCGGTATTTCAGGTCGTAGATTCTCCGAGACCGAATTGCTTCTACCCGTGTTCATGGGAGGTACTGGTGGTGGGAACAGGTTGTCAGACAGGTTGTCTAGACTGCAGTCCCAGCTGGATTGCATGCCAGTACACAGTCCTCAAAGAAGTCCTTTGGCCCATCCCCAACCACCATCACGCCAACTAACCGACCTTGATCGAACTGGCGAAGTTGGTGAAACTGCCTTTGTGAACGTCATCCAGGCATGGGTTTAAAGACCAAAAATAAACGATTGAAGCTAAGCAGAGTGGAATGGAGGGAAGCAGAAAAGGAAACTGGCCTGATCAGTGTAGTTGCCCTATTCCCCATCCCTCGTGGCATTTGGCTAGCTCGGCAAGTTTTCCCTGCAACGGTTCATCCTATGACCTTTAAACTTTGCTCTAATGTTCTAAACATCAGTAGAAGTTCTTGTTTCACATTTCATTCATAAACTCTTTTTAGATGTTCTTTGTGGGTGATAAGCACGACCCTTCCGACCACATTTAAATTGGAATGTTTAGCAAGTTTTCTCTGTGAATTTTAAACCTTGAAACAAGCATCAATTTCATAACGCACTCATACGAGTATGATTACCAAATTTTATCACAATCGCTCAACTCCTTCTTGGTGTGACTTTTTTTTTGGCAATGAGTGTATAAACCACAGCTCGTTTTATTTCCTGATCACCTGAAGAGAAAGGTATTGTCCCTGAATACCCCTTCAAACCATTAACCAAGACAGCATTGATCTCACTTTACTGAAATTGCTGCATGACAGATTTGTTGTTCCCTTTGTTCATCCTTTTTAGCCCCAAGGATGAAGGAATACAACATACATTACTTTTCTGTGTTCTCTATCAACTCTGACATTGAACATGTCAAGATGGCCCTAAAGAAGTCAAACATTCAGATCTGCTTGCTCTAAAATCACATAGGTCTTTATAGCCATAATAGGGCATCTTAGCTCATAGTCAGCTGCATAAAACATGGATAAGACTATTGCAGAAAACAGCATTCCACAAGCAAGGAAATGTGTGAATTTCACTTAGGAGGTGTGAAAAACTTGAGAAACTTACACAAAACACTAATTTCTGACATGCCATACGGAATGCTAATTGTTAACTGCCTGCCTACGTAACAAAAGATGGCAGCCACAAGAAATCTTTCCATAGATGTTTCTCTCTATGAATGAAGTCCACATCCCATGCTGATGAAATAAATTCCATGACCAGTTAAAAGAATTTGATTTTTGTCTGACTCCATGTGGACATGAAGGACCACTGGAATTTCATTTTATTTTCTCACAAAATTAATTAGACATGTGTATGACTGGTAATGAACCATGCCAGTCTTGCTTTTCTGCCTAACTAATGGCTAAATAGTCCATGAATCCCTATCATCATGAGTAGAACTGTCAACCTACAGAGACCTGAAGAGAGGGGTATTGTTTGTACCTGTGCTATATGACACAATGAAGTGAGGTAAGAAGTCAGAAGCAATATGTACACTACAAAATTTTCTCTCATTTCGCAATGAAGGAAAGAGAGCAGAGCCTAAACTTGATTTTGAGCCCTACTAATAATTTGAAAGACTGCTTGGATCCTTAGAGCAGATGTGAAGTAATAGATTATTATTGTCATAATAGAGATTCCTCAAATAATTTCTTGTGGCTGCAGGCTCCTGTTACTTGCATCTCATCTCCAGCAGATGATGGCACCAGTCACAGTCACTTAAAGAATCAGTTTGTGGGAACAAATATAATTTCCTGAGCATCCCTCAGTTTCTCAAAGAGAAATTCTTGATCTGCAAATCTGCAAGGTAGTTTCATATTCATTATGTAATGACAGGCTCCCCAGCTACCCACTGTTCCCAACAGGAAAATCCTGAAGGTGAAAAGAGAAACATGATGCACTTAAGACATTATATATCAATGACACAAAGCAGGGATTTCTGACACAGTCAATGGATGCAGAGACACAGTCACAGGTCATGCACAAGCACATCATTCTTTTTTTCCTTTCCTTCTTGCTTTTGTTAAAAAAAAAAATGTTGGTCTCATATCTATGCCTCAGACTCCTCTGCACTGGTACCCTCCTCCTCTAGTATAGGGACAATGAGGTTCTCCTTCAGCATCAGGTTGTACTTCGTCACAAACACAGTGAACCGCTTGCATAGATGAGTCTCATTCTGATGGGAGACAGAACAAGAATCAGTTTAGAGATTATAGCTTTTATCCTGTCTCAGATGAGTTAATGTCTGTCACTCACCTCAAATTCGTCAAATATCGCTCGATGATGATAATAAGCATGAGAGAAGACTCGATAGACTCGCCTACACACAGAACCAAGCTTCCCAACTGAAGACTCCTTGATGGTGATCCTGGGGAGAGAGAATGGAAACTTCAGGATCTTTGTAACTTGAAGAAAATGAAAAAACTATGAATATAAGCAGAGAACCTGCTGGGGAAGTATTTATTGGAGTTGAGGAGACAAGCAGCACCATCCAGCGTGTGGCGAGTGTAGTCAATTGCAGGGCATTCTTTAGGTGTCTTATGGGCTGCACATAGGAAAATCCACTGTTCTGTAGCTGTCATTTGACTACACTGTTCTGGGAAGCATTCTGATTGCAGTTGGACTGCCAGACCATTCAACTCCAGGCAGAATTGCCTAACAAGCAGGAGATAAACATTTTTCCTATTGTCTTAAAGAGGTTTATGTCTTTTCCAGAAAATGAAAAACTGGGCCTTACCTAAGATGTTCATACTTCCAGACTCCTTCATCCTGGTTCTCAGGAGGAGTGAGAATATGGTCAATGTTTGATGGATCAGACCGAATGGTCTGTTGAATCAGCTGCTGCACAGTAAGAGTGCTGTCCATCTCTTCAAAGGATGCCGGGGGCCATGCACACCATTCCTAATAAAAAATCATCCTCTTATATAACAGCCCAGCACATTCTCAAGGTTGACAATGAAGTTATAATTGGGTCTGCTTATACAGAAATCATAATTACAGTCACTAGAGAAAATGGTGATTATTTGTGAAACATCTGCTTATGGAAAATTTTATTAGTGGAGCTAGAAAACATGATTACATTTTTATTTGTCCATTCCATGAAAGGATCAGACACAAAATCAGTGGATTCTTGTAAGGAGAAGATGCTTTTGAGGGGGAAATGTCCTGTATATTAACATAATGCAAGAGGAGGAAGTTCATCTGGCAACTGCATGCCAGTGAAAATGATAATTCAAGTTCCACTGGACTACAAGAAAAAATTGCAAAAGTTCCAATATCAAAAGGCAAGGAATGGATTAGATCTAATGTATCCAAACACTCTGAATGAGACAAATCCAATGAAGAGAGAAAAAGATAAGATACCTTGGTTTTGGTGCCCGAGGAGTTCCTGCGAACGATGGTGGCCGATTCAGTCATACTCTGATTTACCACCATCCCAGATCCAGGGCAGTTTGACAGTCTCAAAGGAGATGCAACGTTATTTCTTTTGTCACACACCTCTACATAACAATCTGTTGCATCACCCTCCTCCTCCTTCTTTCATCCTCTCTTCTTCCCCTTGAGATCTCACATTGACTGGGATAAATAAACAGGCCAAGCAGTGAAGGGAAAGTTTGCCAAGATTTTTTTGGCTAACAGCAGAAGAACCTGTTTATTTTATGTACCTCCCATTTTGCAGCAGTGATAGAAACAATAATACGGATTGCACACTGAAAGTTTTTAACTCCAAGCCATGGGTTCTTCAACTACTTCAAAACTACTTCAACTTCAAAAAGCCCTTAGGGCTAAATGCAACTAGCACCATTAAAAAAGCATACTTTTACCTTCAAGGAAGGACAACCAAATCCAATTGAATTTGCCACTGTTTGATTTTCAATTTGAGAGCTCACATGAAACTTGTATGCATCATTATTACTTCAAAATCACTAACACATGCATGCAGAAAATATGGGGACTCTTCACATTTCAATGGGGGCATTGATGTGAAGAAATCATTGAACATGAAGCCTAATCCCTTGCAGAACAGCCAAATTTTTCTCCATCATAATACATTAAAAGAAGCTCTGAAAGCTACATCTTTTTATTCATCTACTTTGAGAATTCCTCCCAATCCCCTACATGAATCTTGATTCATGTGCCTAGTGAGGAGAAATGCAGTTTCTTTCTAGCCTGCCCATAAAGCAAGCCTAGGCACTTCCAATGTGCAGCCAGAAGAAAGAAAGTCATGCAAGTGAGAACAAGAATGTAAGTTTCATCTTATACCTTTATTGACACTTTGACACACCTCTGCAAGGTTTTAAAATGGACAGCATAGACATTGGGAACATGTTTTACCCCAAGTCATCAGCAGCTGTTTGTCATTGATAAAAGGCCATAAAAACTCTGAGCAACACAGTCTTGCAGAAAATGAAGCATAAAACTGGAATGTCATCAACAACCTTTCCCCCAGAGAAATGAAATTTCTTGTACAGCACATAGAAACAAAAATTGTTAATTCATGATTGTCAATTCAATACATAAGGAAGTTCATGCACTTCAAAGGAGGAGCAAAGACACTGGCAATGTTAATGAGAATGAGGGAATGTTGAAACATAAAACACTGCATCCTTTTGGGGAAGGAAGGCTCCACATCTACACCAATAGACTATTTGGTATCAGAGATCATCTCTCCAGAGTTGACTTACAGTGACCAGTGACACAGAGCAGCCTATGTGAGTAGCAAAAGGATGCAGGTGTATAATGCAGAAGTGCAAGAAAATAGCAGTCTCAAAAAATAGGGGGAATTTTCTGTATATCACAGCTATGGTTGACAGAAAGGCAGAATCAGAACATGAATCAAGCAAAGAAAGTTCATCATAAAGGAAAGTGAAGAAGCATGGAAGACCAGCCTGAAGACCATTAAAAAAAAAAACAAAACAGGAAGCTAAAAAAAAGTCACAATGCATAACTCTTCTAGATATTTGTTTGAATCATCAGCACCTTTTCAACCTGGACGGCTTTGTAATTATACTGATATCATCTTGGGGTGGGTCTACATAAACAGCCTTTACTAAATTCTGAAAGTAAAGGCATAGGGAAGAAGTAGACTTGACAGAACCAGGTAAAAAATGTAGGCCAGTACATGGAAGGGATCCTTGACACTTGGTCAGTGCTCATAATTCCTAAGGTCACAATAATTATCCTCAGAGGCAACCTAGTGATGATATGAATATTACCTCACACAAGGGAATGTTACCAACTTTTAAAGACATAATTTACTATGAATTCAGAGAGCACTCCTGCTGTCCACAATCATGTTGCCTTATGGACCTGATAAGTTTCCCTTGTAATGGGGCACTCCTCACAATTAGATGCAATAGATTACAATGTGGCAAAAAGTGCAGCAATATCATCAGTTAAAATTACTCTATGCATGACATAGTTGGATGAGAGAAATAGGATGGGAAAAAAGGGATACAGAGAAGATTGATAATAATAATAATTAAAAAAACAGAAGGAAAAAGACAACAACCTTGGGCACTCACAACAAATTTACAGCAATCACGTATTGGGGTATCTTTGGAGTATCTCATGGACGGCACAATATAATGCGTCTTTGACAATGGAAAACAAAGAATCACAAATGAGAGGAAAACCAAGGAATGAAAATAATTCAGGACTTCAGGTGTGTAACACAACACTCTTTGTCCTCCATTTTCACAAGGAACAAATGAATGCAAATTTTAATGAGATGGTGCTATTATGAGAATAAGAGTGTTATGATATTCTCATTATGATTATCAGAATTCATTTGTGATAAAGACTAAATGCCCTCTGTCTCCAGATGAAGATAGTGCATCATTTAATTGAGGAAATGAATCCTGTCATCAGAAAGAAAGTGCAAGACAATCATACGTTTGGTACAGTCTCACTGAATATCATACACAATTAAGTCATGGAAGTGAATGGTCATATGTTCAAACCTATCAAAACTCTCCCAGAATATGGAATTCATTACTGTATAACAGTCTTTTCCCTAGGCCTATGAGAGAGAAAGGCATGAACTATGGAAAGATATAAGGCTAAAAATGTATGTAGAAATGGAAATATAGGGCTAAGTAAAAACACTGATAAAAGTCACATGTTCTTGTCCTGATGTGTCAATAGTCAAAAAGGATGAATGGCAGGAAGTTTGATCTTTCAGGGGGGGAATCAGAATGCCAACAATGTCCAACAAATAGTGGACAAGCATCATAAGGCTAATTCTACCAGGCTTGTCAGCCTGAACCAACTAGCTTCATGCACTTGTGATTCAGAAGGTGACAACAGGATCTTGATCTTTACTATCATCACCATTGTCTTCTGCTGAGGCAGCCATCAAATCGCGAATCTCATCTTGGTCATATTTGTCATCTTCAGACCCAGTTCCCGATTGAGCAGACTGCAGGGAACCAGATGAAAGTTGAGAGGTCCTTGAGAAGGAACCTCGTCTTGGGGCTGGTTGACCTTGTTGATTAGCTGGCCTAACTGTGATGATCAAATTGGAACTGTTAGCTACCATCATATCAGTTACCTGATCAAGAGTCTTCCCAGCTACTTCAATACCATTCACCTCCAACACTTCATCATTGACAGCTAAAAGCCCAGTGCTCTCAGCCAAGCCCCCAGGAACAAGACGGGAGATGAAGATGCCAGGGACTTTTTCAAGTCCCTGTGGGGTGAGACGTACACTAGTACCATCACGGATATAGAATCCCAAGGGCTTGTCAGAGCCATGCTTGAGGAGTCTCACTCGACGACACGTTTCCGGAACGATGTCAACGTCAATTATCTGTGACACTTGGCGAAAGTCCTCTGGATATGAGATGTGCAGTTTCTTGGGTGTCTGACTGGTGCTGCTCAGCAGATGGGCGAGGAAACCTTTATTCCCATATCTTACAGGGGAGACCAATCCATTCAGTTCCTCTGAGCTGTCTCCCTTCCTTTGCACTATGACTCTCAGCAATGGCCGAGCATTCTCAATTGCCTTGGCATAATTGTCATCATTATTTATTGGGAGGAGATCCCCATCCTTTGGGTCGGTGTAACTTAGCGTAAAAGGCACATCACTGAGCAAATGACGTGATTCAATAAAACAATGGAAATCTTCAAACTTGGGAAACTTGTGTCTGTCAAATGAAAAGCGTCGGAACTCTGTTTCAAACTTGCTTTTCACCTCGATGATATTGGGATTTGCCCGAGACAGAGATGTTTTGGACTGGTGCATGGCATAGAGAATTACACAAGAAACTGAAGATCAAATATGGTCACTGGCCAAAAGAATATTGGCCAATAATGATGTCACCTGCATGAGATTCAGCAATGAAGATCAAATTCTTGAGATCTATTATGTTTTTCAAAGATGGCATGGCAGAGTGAAATCATGGGGATTTGTTCAATACATATTGCATCTTAATGTCAAACTTTCCCGGATTGAGAACAATGGAAAATGCTCTCTTTGAAATTGAGTAGATAGGGGGTTAAAAAATATTCACCAAGCATTTAGTTTCCAATCAAGGTGAACATTACTACATGCTATCTTTGAAAAACGCCAAGCAATAATAGGCCTAGATATATCAATATATTTGAGGAAGAGTTTTCCAAGTTGCAATATCTTGAAAAATAATTTAAAATGTAACAGATTTGGATATAAAAGTGGGGAAAGAAGTTTATTAATTACTTGTGCTCTACTTTAGACCTGGAAATCTCCAAACCAGCATAAAATTAGGAAATCGTTTAGGTCTAAAAAAAAAAAACAAAGACATCATGATACAGTACATTTTGCTGGAGGATGGACTTCAATCATGGCTAAGGAAATGCATTGCAAGTCAAATGCATAAATGAGTATTCGAGAAATCTCTGTCAGTTATGATAGTAACTACCTGCAATTAAATCGACATATCGTACCTCATGGTGTATTCTGACATAGCTACCATCACACATGTTAGGTGAGGGTAGGTTAACCCATTTGTAGAAGTCTCTCACACACTGCTCATATCCACCAGATGCAATAAATGAATCATATTCATATTTAGGTTATTTCCATGAATTTTCACCAACAAACTGCATTTTCTACACATGCATTCTATAATAATGATGCCTTGTTTGGACAAAACTTTCCTATAAACCAAAGGCAGGGGCAAGGAAATATGGAACCAGGGTATAGAGGATGCAAGTTTTTCTTCAGTCCTTTTGAAATAGTGAAAGTTACACATTTTTTCATACTATATTCATTGATAAGCAAATTTATTTTTAAAAAAACTAGGCATCACTGAAAAGAATCTCAGTTTCATTTTGCTCCTGCCATTCTTAAATATGAGTTTTATAAATACAATCGAGTTGTCTTCATCTCTTCACATTCAGTCAAATGTTTTAGATTCACTTTGCTGAATATATGGCAGAAGTAAAGACTTCAAAAAGTCCTCAATTCTTGCCCCAGTATGCTTTCAAGCCAACAAAAATGTATCTTCTTAGACCTGGACATGCAGGGAGATCCACAAATGACTCAAAACAATGGCTCTCACTCTGTAGGTTCTCCTGAGGCAAGAAATGAGCACTTGAAAATATTACAAGTGAAAATCTTCAAGAGTGAAACCTATGACCTTTACTATAGATGTGTCCATATCCCAGAGCAATGCATGTGACACATTAATGTATTCAAGAAAATGGTAACCTCCCCTTGCCATGTGGTAGTAGGACCAGTAGAAAACTATGGATTCCATGTTTGGTGTATTGGAGCATGATATGAATACATTATTAGATTGGGAAATAACACCTGGGCCTGTGTGCCCCTAAAAGGCAAACAATATACCTTGGAAATCATTCCAGGTTAAACAAGTCAATTCGGAGGTTAGCTTTAGTGCTACCACATTGCTGTGGGGGAATGGATGCCAAGACCAAACTACAAAATGTGCATATGATGGAACGAACAAGGGCTAGTTGTAGCTTGGGCACCATTCAGGTTTTTCACTTAATAAATTCTATTGGCCTCGGGCCAATAGTTTCCCTGCCCTTTGAGCAAGCGCTGCCTTGGTCATATGGTTAGAGGTTGCTCTAATATAGTCACTAATCTATAGCAAAGATGCACATTGCTTAAACTTTGGCTATATAATTGGTCGCAGGTTTACGCCGTAGTTCAACATTATATTGAAATTCGGCCTAATGGGGACATTGCTGGAGAGCAAGGTTGTTCACGACATCCTTCAGGAACTCTCTAAACGGACTATGCAGAAGCCTCAGAGCAGACACGAAAACCATACTATGGGAGAACATACGGGCTAAGCTCGGTGAAGCCCATAAGGTTAGGAATTCACAGCCTCAGGGGCAGGGACCATGAAAACGAGGACGCATCCATGTTGCCAAGCACCGGACGTCATCTTGGGCCTATTCGTCATTCATCCTCGGTTTTTCGGCGCAAAACCATTCCTTCCAAGTTATTACTCATCGGAGAGCATCATTCTATCAAGAAAATGCAAATAATGAGTGCAGTGAGGTCTCCAACAGAGCATTGGATCTAATTGCTAAGCCAGCGACCCGCCCCCTACTCCTACTCCCACGGTCACGTTGTATTGTTTTTCACTAGAGTCAATTTCGCACTTGACTCGGACACTCGTGATGAGGAACATCCCTTGCACAGGCGTCCGAGTCAAGTGAAAGATAGTCTGACTCAAGTGAAAAACACTGATAGCAGAGCCCAGTGGCGCAGTCGCGGGTAGATGACAGCAGTAGCGTAGCGAGGGGGGAATGCAGCCCCCCCCCCCCCCTCTCCCGGGCGAGGAGTAGTAAGCCCCACACCGTTCCACTTAGTCCCCCCATTGGCGAAATCCTGGCTACGCCACTGTGACTGGGGCCACTGCTTTCAAAAGCTATAGACCGCTAAGGCATCAGTTGCCTCTTGCCTCCAACAGGAATATGAACGAAGCCTAACATCCAAGATATGAGCATCTAGGCTCTGCCACGCCAAGCTAAGTTACTGGCATTCCTTCGGTATTGAAGTTTTTCTTCTTTTTTTTTTCCTTTGCACTCAAATCGGTTGATTTTGTGCATACTATTGGAAAGCAACATAATAAGAAGTAACCTGGTCACAACTCGACCATTTCACGCGGTTTTTTTTTTTTAATTCTACGTGTTGAATAAGGCGCACGCTCCGAAACTCACACTAATTTGCCTAATACCTCAAAAATGCTGTTCAATTGCAACCGTTCACGAAGCCAAATGTCATAAATCAAAACATTCCATTTGAGTCGAAAAGGTAAAGAGGAAGCCGATTGTTTGCCATTGAAAATTGGTAGAAGAGATATCTGGTCGCAGAAGGCCAAGGATGGCGTAAAAAAAATATATATATATAAAATAGATTTGGATCATATATTACTAGTTATTTTTCAGGTGAACAACTAGTTAGCCACACGAAAGACACTTTTGTCGGGGAGCGCGAAATTGCGATCCTTTCCCACCTCCCCAGCTTTTCGATATTCCGGCCTCCACGCCTTCCGCTTTCGAGCATTTCTTTCCCCTGACTTACTTGACTTACAAGCCGCCGAAACGGGGAATACGTTTCTCTGTTTACCTCCGACTATTAACGTCTATCGGCGTCTGTTCTCGTCCATCGGCCAGTTTCCATCGCAGCCGTTTTCACCAAACTTGCACCGCGCACGGACGAATGTCTCCGACGGATCCTCGAAGTTCCATTCAGATTCGTCGTGTCGATTCGAGGCCGAACGCCATCACGGAAGAAGCCGGATGTCCGAAAGGGACAAGAACTCGTGCCGACACCGAAGTGGCGGAAACGCCCGAGTTCTGTCCTTGCATATCATCAATCGACTGTCATCCGCATGTCATCAATCGACTGTCATCCGCATGCCATCCATCGACTGTCATCCGCATGTCATCCATCGACTGTCGTCCAGGCCGCATTCAGCTTCTCTTCCATTGAAATTCATTCTTTGAGCTGACCTTTACTTGCCTTGCTCTGGCAGCACCAATTTGGATGCGATTTTGTAGATCTGTGGGAAACATGACAATCTATGCACAAATCACTGGTATTTTTTTTTGTCTAACTCAGCGACGTCTAACTCAGGGCACTTTTTAACACCCAGTCTGAGTCGATGAGACCAAAACGAGCTCTTTTGGTAGGTGCTTCAAGAATCAAGTCGTTCCGGTATTTGTTATACACAAAGGGAAGAAGCGTTTTCGGAAAGCCCATCATCTCGAACCTCCAAAAAAACAAATTTTTTCCTCGAGTGAAGAGAACCCTTCGTCACGAGCTCCATCGGAAGAGTCCCCGAGGGTTGCAAGGCAAGCCACGCATGACACTGGCTTTTTCCGTCCTATAAATGAAGCAAGTACTAACAGGAAGAACACGCAGAGCCTTTCCTTTATTCTTTCATCACCTGCTGTTTCGCGCGACCTATTTTGCTCCTGCCTCATACAGGTGCTCAGTCACGTCGCAATTCCTTCGCTGGTGTTATGAGCGGATTCACATCCTCCTGCGTACCCCCCC